CTGGGGAAGAGCTGTTTGGACGCGTCTTTCCCCCCAAAATACTTCCCAAAACCTTGCACCCCACTTCCTGGACAAGGTTTGGTAAAAAGCCTCACCAATTTGCCTAGGTGACTACAGACCCAGACCCTTGGATCTTAAGAACAATGAACAATCCTCCCAACACTTGCACCCCCCCCTCTCCTGGGAAATGTTGGATAAAAAGCCTCACCAATTTGCATAGGTGACCACAGACCCAAACCCTTGGATCTGAGAACAATGAAAAAGCATTCAGTTTTTTACAAGAAGACTTTTAATAAAAAATAGCAGTAAATAGAAATAAAGAAATCCCCCCTGTAAAATCAGGATGGTAGATATCTTACAGGGTAATTAGATTCAAAAACATAGAGAACCCCTCTAGGCAAAACCTTAAGTTACAAAAAAGATACACAGACAGAAATAGTTATTCTATTCAGCACAATGCTTTTCTCAGCCATTTAAAGAAATCATAATCTAACACATACCTAGCTAGATTACTTACTAAAAGTTCTAAGACTCCATTCCTGTTCTGTCCCTGGCAAGAGCAGCACACAGACAGACACAGACCCTTTGTTCCTCTCCCTCCTCCCAGCTTTTGAAAGTATCTTGTCTCCTCATTGGTCATTTTGGTCAGGTGCCAGCGAGGTTACCTTTAGCTTCTTAACCCTTTACAGGTGAGAGGAGCTTTCCCCTGGCCAGGAGGGATCTCAAAGGGGTTTACCCTTCCCTTTATGTGCAAATTACATATGAGCTGGGTTCTTTCCCTTGATACAAGAACTCCTGAAAGAGCTTTCAAATTCTCTGCAGCTCTCAAGCTGAACTACTCGCCATCTTTTATGAGGACGGGTATGAGGACGCTAGCTATTTCCTGATCCCTGATCTCACAGCATCACCTGGAAATCAGATGTCACTGGTGAAACTAGGCCCAATTCTCTTTAAAGGGCCAGCCAACCCATGACACAGAGTTGCACTAAAACTAAGTTCACTATTAGCAGCTTTTTCATCACTCACAACTTTCAAATCTTGATAGACAAATCAGCTCGGTATTAACGGCTTATTATCCCTTATAGGGTAAGTGCTGAACCTAATAGTGCTATATCATGTAGTGTATTTGTATCTCTCTATTTTATGTTTGTGGAATTATATTCCAGTCAAAAATAACGTATTATGTAACTTTAGGAAAACTCAAAAATAAATTACTGAAGTCAATTTTCCAGTAAACCCTTAGGCTACATCATGTTTCAATGTGTAAAATTAGTAGCAAATGGTGCAAAAACATGTATAATTTGTGATCTCATCAAAATATAAGCTAAATCCACACCTACTTTGTGTTGAGTGGGTTTCTTAAAGAAAGCTCATAGAATATAAAGTTCACACTAAAAAGAGTACACATTGAGCAATAAACTTGATCACCTTCTTTGACAGAGTTATCAGGAAGATAGAGAATGAGACAAGATGAACATAACTGTAATAGCTTTTGATACAGTTCCTCTTCGAATTTAGAAAACTAGAAGTGAAATAGAAAATGTTGTAAAAGCAACTACAAAAATTCTGAAACTATGTCAACTGTCTCTATATGACACCTCATATGATACCTTCAGATACTGTTGTCATAAACTATGTATTAGGTGTAATGAATGTCAGGTCTAACTACGCCAAAAGGATATAAAGAGGAGCTCCTCCATTTCCCTCCCACCCTCTTACATCCTGTCAGTCTCATGTGGAGTAAGGCAACCTCTATGGATACCTACTGGATCAGATCCCACACACAACTTAGGCAGCCAAACTAGCTTGTGAATTGCACTGAGGTGTAGGCAGGAGATAGGCACCCAGTGAAGCGGCAGTGCATATGCTCAGAGACAAAAACACAGGCCCGAGATATTTTATTGCAAAACCTGAGGTACCAAGCAACTAGAGGTGCCTAGAGAATTAGGCTGAAACCAAGGGGGAGTTTTGTGAATCACAATGGTGCCTAAAAGGGGACTTAGCACCCTAAGTACCTTTGTGAATCCCACCCTATGTGTGCACAGTGCCAACACAACGGGGGCCTAATCTAGTTGGGGGATCCTTGATGTTACTGTACCTATAGGTCCAGGGTGGGGGGTTCAAGCCGGCCCACATCTAAAGGCTCCTCTCCCAGCCTCAGGGGAGCAGCCACGAGGCCATGGCTCAAATTGGTGCTACTGTAATACAATAAGTTAAGAAAGTAAAATGGCTACAAAACTGAGTTTTTGAAGAAATAGGCAAATTTAAGTGCAAGTTTAAACTTTAGAAAAAAATCTATTTAATGTGCAGAAAAGGATTTGGGTGACAGATGAAAAACTGAATATGAATTTACTATGCAATACAGCTGGAAAAAAAAAAAGACAAATCCTTTCATTTACATACAAGGTTATCATTTACAAGACAGAAGGATAATCCTGCTCTACGCAAAAGGTTATACTAGATGACCCAGGTAGTCTTTTCCAGCCCTATCTTCTATATTTCTGATTTCACTTAGCAAAATGCATCATAATTCCAACTAAGGGCTCCCTGGTGCAGTATAGTGAATTAAAGGAAGAGGTATGAATGGAAAATACGCAAACAGAAGTGACAATGCATTTGCTGAATATTTAAGCATGAAAAATATATTAGCTGTAGCATTAATAAAGTCAGTGGAGACTGGAAGCATGCTTTCCAAGGACAGCAAAAGTAAGTCATTTTTCTCCTACTACACGTTTAGATTCATGTTCTTTGCTCAATGCATGGGAATTATGCATGTAAATCCTTACACAGATGTGAGGAGACAAACTTGTAGCCTTTATACTTACACAGTAAGCAGAAACATCTGAAGAACAGACTCTGCCTACAACTCAAACAATCATCCACTTAAAACAACCTCAGTGTAAAATTACCAATTTAAAAACTCTGTTATAAAACACGTTTTAACAAGACTTTGCAAAGGGATTTAATTAGATTTCACATCAAAACTTCCACACACTGAAACAACAGCTAATGTTGGCTGAATCCAACAACATTCCAAGAAGAGATCTGTCTAAATATCAACTATGATCTTCTACCCACACTGAAAGAAGCAACAGATAAAGCTTTCACACTAAGTGGCAGAATTGACAAGTGAACTAAATTCGGCTTTTATGAGAACTCCAAACCTACCATTCAAATTCAAAAAAAAAAAAAAAACCCAATGTCTATGTGGAATTTCTTTTCAGCACATAAGAATGTAACTTTTAAAGATCAGAATACTTCTCAACTGTCATTCAAAGATTTAAACCACTTCTGAATAACTTAAAATGCATTGGAGCGGAATATAAAAATAGGTTACAAAATCAAGGGAACTAGGATGTGTTGGACATAGACATCTTGCCCAAGGGAAAAAAGGTGAAGTATTTCATGCAAGTTTTCTATTAGGCATTTCAATGATTCAGTTTTAAATTAAGTGGCCAAGATCCTACCATAGAGAAATAATATTCTGGAATGTCTTATTTAAATCACTGACATCAGCTATTTGAAAATAAATTACTAAGAAATCTGCCTACAGGCAGAGCATATTGTGTGCAATTAATCTTTCACGCGAACTTTATAGATACATGCTTAAGCAAGTTGCAATTTAAGATTTTTAATTATATTACACACTATATCTAATTGTCCCAAGAGTTATACCGAAGCCTTCCTTTCTCCATCCAGTAACTATGACTTTAAAATGTTACACACACACACAAAGTTAACTGAGTTATTTAAACTAATCCCATCATCGAACCAAGGTCAAAATGACCAAAACGATTTTACTGTTTCCTCCATCTAAGTTCTTAGGAGTTTCATATTAATTTCCTAATGGGGTTGTTAATAATTTACCAAGGACAAAAATTAAATTTGTACTCCAGAGAAACATATCCTCCTCATTAAAAAAAAACTACACACTATCGCTACTCTTATTTTCAAGCTCTCACTCAGTCCAACCACTGCAGACTTTTTCCCATTAAATTCTTTTGAGTTCACATTTAAGGAGCTATGTCAAATCTGATTGATTCGCTAAGCTTTACAAGGCACTGGGAAGATGTAAAGAGCTATTATTTTATGCCCACATTTTAATTTAAGCGACTAGAACAGGAGGAGATTCTGCTGGATTCTAAATGCCGCACCTAGGTTGAGGGGTTGCGGGTGGGGTTTTTGTTTTGGTTTTTTTTTTTTTTTAAATTTGCCCCCCTCCACAGATGACAATATAGAAAAATAATTGCCGTGGTGCCGCAGAAATACCAACACTTCCGCAGTACCTGTGGCAATAAACCCTACGCCGCGGGCCGGGGTCAGTCAGCGAGGCTCCCGCGGAGGCGTTTTCACGTGACCCGTGCGACGCGGCGGCCGTTGACAAACGGCCACTCCCGTTTCAAGCGGACGGGTCGGTAACTGCCCAGGAGCGGGGGGAGGGGCGCAGCTGGCGGGAAAGATACTGACGCGTCTAGAAGACCCGCCCGGGCAGTTACAAGGCCGAAAGATGCCCACCCGCCAGCGCCTGCTCCAGGCCGCCAAGGGCAGGCGGCTGCAGAGCAGGGAGCCAGGGGTTTCCCCCCCCCAGCACAGCGCGCCAGGGGCGGCCCCTTCGCCGTCCGCGCGGCAGCAGCTGCCACCCACCCAGACGACGGACCCAGCCTGCCCTGTGGCTGGGTTGCCCCATCGAGAGGGAGCCTCCGGCGCGGAACCGGCCGCGCGGCAGACCCGGGGCAAGCCCACCGATACTCCTCACAGGCGCCCGGCAGGCCGCGCGCTGAGGGAGGGGAGACCGCCAGAGCCGCGCGCGCCCTGCCCCTGGGGGCGCCAGCACGCGCTGGCCTCCGCCCCCTGCCCCAGCGCTTCCCGCCCGGCCCGCACCGGAGCGTCCCCGACTCCTCCCTTCCCCCCCATTCCCTTCCCATCGCCCTCCCCCACCCTGAGCCGCTCCGGCTGTTGAGGAGTAGGGAGTGGGAGGGGGAAGCAAAATGGAGACTTACACTCCGACTGCTATTGCGCGTGCGTCAAGCCGGGATGGGAGCGGGACGCGCCGGCGCCCTGACGTCACGCGCCCGGAACTGGTTCCGGGGAAGCCGCGAGGATTCCCACCACGCGGACAGGAGTGGCCAGCGCGCATGCGCACGGCGCCCTCTCCTCTGAGGCGGTGTCCGGCCGCGCTCCCTTCCCTGACAGAGCCATTCATGGACAGTAATGGCGGGGCAGGGGGGGATGGGGCGCGGTGCCCGACCGTAGTGCTGCCTCACGCTGGCTTGTCAGCCCCCAGGATGGGCCTGAGGCCTCCAGGAATCACGTCAGGCGATGAAACCCAGGGCTGTGCCCCACTGGTATGGGCAGCCCTACGCCGACCCCAGCCCAGAGGACAGTGTCACTGGCACAGCCCCCAGGAGCCCCGCATGCTGCCATGGACGCCAACACTGTCCCCCATCACAGCCAGCATCACCCCTCCCCCTGCAGACATGCCATCCCCGGTGTCACCGACACAGATACCAAGAGCCTTGCATGCTGCTACGGACACCAATGATGCCCACCACAGAGGCCAACACTGTCCCTCAGTGACAGCACAGACACCCCCACTGTCGCCCCTCCCCGATGCATACAGTGGCAATCCAGCGTCATGCCCCTGGTGCCAACACCAATGCCTCTCTCTTCTATATTCTATTCTGTGGAGAAAATAAATACAGAAGTGTTATTTACTCCTCCTAACACAAGAACTAATGGTTACCACATGAAATTAATATGCAGCAGGTTTAAAACAAAGAAGTATTTTTTCAGACAACTCACAGTCAACCTGTGGAACTCCTTGCCAGAGGATTTTGTGAAGGCCAAAACCATAACACGTTTCAAAAAAGAACTAGATAAATTCATGGAGGCTAGGTCCATCAATGGCTATTAGCCAGGATGGGCAGGGATGGTGTCCCTAGCCTCTGTTTGCCAGAATCTGGGAACGGGTGAAGGGATGGATAACTTGATGATTCCCTGTTCTGTTCACTCCCTCTGGGGCATCTGACATTGGCCACTGTCAGAAGAGAGGACACTGGGCTAGATGGGCCTTTGGTCTGACCCAGTATGTTTTCAGAGAACTATCCACAGTGATTCCAAGGTCTCCTTCTTGAGAGGTAACATCTAATTTCGAAGCCACAATTTTGTATGTATAGTTGGGATTACATTTTCCAATGTGCATTACTTTGCATTTGTGAACATTTAATTTCACCTGCCATTTTGTCACCCAATTTTCTGAGATCCCTTTGTAACTTTTCAGAGTAATTCTGGATTATCTACAACCTTTCCTTTCTCACTGTTCATCCTCTTCTCCAGATCATTTGTGAAAAAATTGAACAGCACTTGTTCGAGTCCAGATGTTTGGGGGACCTGTTTATTTATCTCTCTTCACTTGAAAACTGACTATTAATTCCACCCTTTGTTTTCTATCTTTTAACTAGTTACTGATCTATCAGAGGACTGTCCCTCTTATCCCATAACTCCTTACTTTGCTTAAGAGGCTTTCGTGTGGGAGCTTATCAAAGGCTTTCTGAAAGTCCAAGTACACAATATTCAATGGATCACCCTGTGATTCTGTATGATTGAAATATGATTATGAATATAATTAATAGAGCCACTGTTAGACAATTGCAACAAATCGTGTACAAAGTATATTATGTAAGGTGTCAATGGAAAATTATGATTTGCTAAATAAGATTATCCTGTTTAAATCCATGTATCATTTTTGTATCAGAAGTTATGAATATTTGCTTTATACCCGTATCACCATTGTGTTTGTCCCCAGGGTAACAGCCATAAGGTAGTTTACATCCAGTCTAGCCAGCACATTGTGAATGGACTTTTCAAGCTTGATTACTCATTAAGACACACCTCTTACAACGGGCTATAGAAGAAACTCATCCCACCCAGTAAGTCTTCCTATGGATGCCATAGCATGAATATGGCCAATGGCTGCTCCCACCCCACTCTCCATGAGTCAGCAAGCCATATAAGGACATGAGGTATACTCATTTGACCCTAGACTCCATCTTGTGCCACAGAAAGGAGCTGTAAGCTTTGTTTGGAATAGTAAAATTCTTCCAATCACATGGCAGAGGATACAAAAGACCCTTGAAACATCTCCATGTTGCCTCTTTCCTGATCTGAACTCTCGAGACTGCAGATTTACAACTAAAATGGAGCATATTGGACTATGGACTAAGAACCCTCCAGTCTTTTGGAAGTTACCAAAAACTCTACAAGCCAGCAGTCTATAATATCACTTCTACAAACCTGGTATAAGAACATTGTCATTATTGTATGTATATGATCTATTGACCATTTTAACAGGTTTCAGAATGGTAGCCGTGTGAATTGGAATTAATTTGCAAACTGGACACGATTAAATTAGGCTTGCATAAAGACTGGAAGTGGATGGATCATTACACAAAGTAAAAATATTTCCCCATGTTTATTTCCCCTCCCCCCACCCACTGTTACTCACACCTTCTTGTCAACTGTTGGACATGGGCCATCCTGATTATCACTACAAAAGGTTTTTTTCTCCTGCTGATAATAGCTCACCTTAATTGATCACTCTTAATATAGTGTGTATGGCAATACCCATTTTTTCATGTTTTCTGTGTGTATATATATATATATATATATATATATATATATCTTCCTACTGTATTTTCCACTGCATGCATCCGATGAAGTGAGTTTTAGCCCACGAAAGCTTATGCTCAAATAAATTTGTTAGTCTTTAAGGTGCCACAAGTACTCCTTTTCTTTTTACTGTAAAAGAGTGATCAGGTAAGGTGAGCTATTACCCAGCAGGAGAGCAGGGGTGGGGGGAACCTTTTGTAGTGATAATCAAGGTGGGCCATCAGTATGGAGTGAGCCTGCCTTATTTCTCAGCAGTTTGTCCTGAATCTGGCATTCTCCGCTGTGACCCAGTGAGGTACAGTGATACTCCCTTGTCCACGTGCTTGTTGATTCCCTCAAATGATTCTAATATGTTGGTGAGGAATTATTTCCTTTTACACAAGCAGTGTTGACTCTTACCTGCCACAATTTTGCATGAGGAAGGGAAGTCTCTTATGTAGAATCATAAGGGAGCCAGCAGGGATTCTTAAAATAGACCATCATTGAGGATGCAGGCTTTGCTGATCAACCCAGTGTCAGACAATATGAGGTGTAACTGGCACACAGCTAAACCCTCATTCTGCAAAAGCAATCCACCTTAGCATAGAACATGATGGCACTGGATGTAGCTTCCTGCTTCCCTGTCCCCTCTCCCCCCGCCACATGCACACTTTCTAACTAACTATCTCCACTATCCTGCTACCTCTAAAACATTTGACCTACCAACCCATTTAGAGACTGGATTAATTTTTTAAGTGGGGAAAACTGAATGAACCCTCTCTTGGTGAATAGCTATTTTAGATAAATCCACCACACTGAGCCTTGGCACAAATGTTGATCTGGTTTCTAGGGAGTTGACCTGTTGCAATAAAAAGAGCAAAGCAGCTGGGAAAAAAAAAAAAAAAACACCTGACTCCCTGCCTTTCCCCTCAAAATGTGTGCCCCAGTGCAACTCCTGTCAAATTTGTATGTGAAAGGAGTTAAATCAATGTTATGGGCCAACATGACTGCTCATTTTGGGCATCTCAATTTTTGGATGGCCAACCTGAGACACTGATTTTCAGAAAGTGCTGAGTACCTATCCTCTGCAAATCGGGCCCTTTCAAGGCGTCTCAAGTTGGGCACCCAAAAATCTCTAGTCATATTTGAAAATCTTAGCCTTGGCTTTAAACTAAATCAGAGGTAAAGGATTAAAAAGCTTACCTCTTATGCATTCTCTTTCACTGACATCATATACTACACCCAATCAAGGGATAGTGAGGTGTTCACCTTGCAAGTATATTCCTTTATCCTTTCATCTGTCTTCTCCTTCTTTTTGTACTTGGCATTTTTTCCTCCTTTCAAATACTGAGCATTCAGAAGTGGCTGAAGAGGCAGGCACGTTGAAAATAAGAATGTTTTTGGTCTCTCTAAGCTTTCAATGTATACAGTTGTGAGTGTAAAACACAAACAATGTACAGAAAAAAAACACTGAAAAGATCCAGAGTTCAGTAAAATGGCATATCCTAGAATTTGGTTAAGCATGTCAAAAAGTTTTCAATCTGATGAAGGGGGGGAAACATGAGTATTATTGAACAGTGTTAAAACAAACTGTAAAACCTGAGCTTTTCCAATAGCTCTTCCCATAATTCTCCATTTCTAATGCTATAACCTCTCTATAACCAGAGATTATGCATTACATAAAGAATTATAATAGCTAAATTTACACAAGACAGATGAAGAGGTGGGTTACTGCTAGAGCAGAAGCTTTTGTTTACCAAAAGATGGCTTTAATATTCTGCTATTAAGGGAGGAAAGAAATGCAAACACGAGAAGCAAAAAGTGATGCATGTTGCTAGATAATTTGTTTCTAAAATTCAACTGAGCATGAAATCTCTTGAAAACAAGCCAAGTAGAGATCCTGGGGACACACTCTTTTAGCCCAGTAGGGACACTACACTTTTCCTCATTTAAACTCAGCTGTTTACTATTTAAGACGCAAAAATATAGAACTTTCTCTCCCTAATCCTTAGCAATACTACAAGCCTTTAATATCTTGTCCTTGCTAGCCTCACTACTTCAATGTGCCAGGTCCTTCTAAAAGCAGTTTTCCCTGCCAAATGAAATTTGAAAAGCTGTCTGCCATTGTGTTTAATGGGGATTGTAGGTTATTTTTCAATGAATTTCAGTGATTCCAATATAAAACTGTTTTTATTTAAAAATGACAAATCCTAGAACATATGGTGTTGTGCAATGTGTATGGTCTCCTATGGGAAATTCAAACAAACTCTATCGCTTGCCATATTTTCTTGGTGGCCAAGAGGTGGGAACATAATCATTGTGGAGAAGTAATAGTGGTATTAGTAATCTTAAAAACCTTACTTAATCTTAAAAATAAAAATTCCTTACCAATTCTCTTCTCTCCATATGGCAAACAGATTCTTTCCTGATTACCATGTTTCTACCTGGTTTTGAGATTGACAGTGTATTTCTGTTTAATCCTGTTTATCAGCAAACATTATTTATGATCTCCAAACAGCTCTGATACCAGGGTTTGGTGCTTGGATTCATTTTGTCAGTTATGCAGCAGAAAAGCAGCAAAACATTATAGGACCTGCTTAGACAGTTATGATTTTATTTTTTGGAGCTCAATCATAAAGCAATCTTTTGTTGTTTTTTGTTTTTATAGGGTAGGTATATAGAATCCAGAGAATATTCTCCACTGGATTATTACTATTTTAAAGCAAATTTTGAGCCTGACAGCTTTACAGTATCCTTTTAATGGCTGCTGTTTAATATGGTTTTGATTATGATTCAGTTCTTGTCCTCCCTCTAAACCTTTTCCTCAAGCTACTGCATGGTCTTCAGTGGTCAACTAAACAGCTTCTTCTGTAAGGCCAGTCCATCGTTTCTCCTAACGCATCACTGGTCATTTCTCTTTTCCTCAAAAAGTGCTACAGTATTCATGTTTTTTGGCATAGTAATGATAGCCCAACATCCAGTCAAAACAGCCTCTTCTGTGAGGCCAGTCATTCATTCCTCCCTATTAGATTGTCATCCCCAGATGCCTGCTGAGCTACATCCTGTGTATTCCCCAGGACTGTACCCACAATACATCCACAATGACTCTGTATTTTCAGTAACAGCCCCACATCCTTTTATGAGCCTTCTTCACTAGCATG